CCCCCGCCCCCCCGCCGGGGCGCTCCTCTCTGCCCCGCCCTCCCGCCCCAAGCTGGACATCTCCACTGGCAGGATGGCCAGCAGCTGCTCCAGGATCACCAGGTCCAGCATCTGGCTCTTGGTGTGTCGCTCTGGCTGCAGCCACTGGCGGGAAAGATGGTGGAGGCGGCTGCAAACCTCTCGGGGACCTTCTGCCTCCTGGTAGCGGAATTCTCTGAAATGCCGGCAAGGACCCTCTGAACTGACCAAGTCCTCCAGGATCTTCTGCCCTGCTCTTTCACAAGGGTCCTCCCTGGTCTTGGTTTTAATGACATCTGTAGGCCTTCTTCTTTTAGGACCAGATATGCTTTGCATGTTCATTTCTGGTCTTCCCTCCAAAGGAAACACCAATGATGCTAACAAAATGCCCCCCTCTTCTGTCCAATTCCTTTTCAAGGCAATGTAGTACTATGGTAGTGCTACAAAAAATCTGCAATACAAAAAAAAAACATGCACACTTTCCTTTAAACATTGAATTAGCAAGAAGAGCTTTTCCTGGAAATAAAAGGAAATGCATTAGAAGTTCAGAGAAATAAAAATCTTTCAAGCAATTTGCACAGCCCAATTTGCTCATCTTCCACTCTTTGAGAAGTGTCAGGCCATAACTAACTCCCTTGGGGCCATAACCAGGTCAGGACAGTTACTTCCAAAAGTTAGATATTTATTTAACTATCCAAGCTGGATTACTCAACCAAATTCATATAGGTGTAACATGTAAAATTCTGATGAACCCATAGCTAGCTAGCTATTTATTTAACCAAATTCATATAGGTGTAACATATAGGTGTAACATTCTGATGAACCCATAGCTAGCTAGCTATTTATTTATTTATTATATGTATGCCAACCCTATATGATGCCCCTTAGTATTCATTTTATTGTTATTTGATCAACAGTGTTGGAGAAAAATCTGTTAGAAGGAATTCCTGTTCCATCCCATTTGCGACTTACAGGTTTTCTCTCCCTTCTCAAGATGAGGTTCATTTTCCCTACTCAAGCAGAACACTTCCATCTTCAAACACTTTAATTATGGATTTGCAAAGCCAAGTCAAGGTCACGTGGACATTAGTCCACGTTATATAGGAAACAGGATGCATTTTATAATTAAACAAGGAAATACAAGATTATAAATGTGATTGGTTACACATTAATTATAAAAGACAAACTTTTAAAATAGACTTGAGTTGCTATGCTGCACCCACTAAATGTACCTGCTAATGTCAAACCGCAGCTTTGGCTAGTTCTAGCTGTCCTGACCAACTTCCTCTTGAAGCCTAACCAGAAATATAATATTCTTCGTATTTACTATTAGTGCTTGCTAAACATTTACTTAAAACATTTATTAATATTCGAATGGCTTAAGGTCTTCCACAACAGTCCCCCCACATTTTACCTAATGTATACAGTACATCACGGACAATAACTATCTCCTTTTACATTAAATAAGCCTGTGGTTTTATGTTTGAAATAGGTAAACTGTTTCAACCTCCGGAAAATGGACCTAAATGTTTATATAAATAAAACATGTTGCTGGGAGGAACCAAATGAATCATCTGTGCCTCCTTCTGCGGTGCAATGGGAGGGTCCCTTTGACCTTCCCAGCCCCGCTGCCCAGCATCCCCACCCTGCCCTGCCCGTTCCCTCCCTCCATCCCTTTGCCTTGCTCTCGATTTGCCTCTCCCCGCTCCCTGCAGCCCCGGGAACCCGCCCCATGGCGCCGGGCGGTGGGGCTCACCGGACCCTCCAAAAGCGGGGCAGCCGTCCGAGGCTGGAGCGAGGGAGTCGGAACCCACTTTCCCGGAGGAGGGAGAGGAAGGTCCGTGGTGAGACGCGCACATCCTGCGGAAGCTTCTCCACTTCCTCCCCGATTCCCTCTGCTCTAGGAATCTGCTTGGTGGTTTTAACCCCCCGGAAGCCAAGCCGAAGCCCAGAAAGCGTCGGCCGTGGCTCCGCGCCGCTCCGTTCTTGGCTGCTGGCGGAGTGTGGTGGGAAAGGGCGTTGCCTTGCAAAGCGCAACCACGAGTAAACCGGGAGTAAACCAGCAACCAGGAGTGAAAATCCCAGCGGGACAAGGCGGGGAAGAGGGAAGTGAAGCAGGCGCGGGGCGAGGAGGACGGGATCGGAAAAAGCCGGGGCAGAAGGCGCGGCGGGAGAGCATCGCGAAGCCGGGGTTCGCTGGAGGCTGGCCGGCCCCGGCACCTCCTGTCCCGCCGGAGCAGTCAGATGGCCCCCAAGCCCAGCTGGGCAGAGCGAGGCAGGGGCAACCGCGGCCAGCTGTCGGTGGGCAGAGAGAGGCGGCTGCTGTGCTGTCAGTCTCGGCTGGAAACGGCCGTTCAGTGTCCCGGCCCCTGCCTCTTGCCCCCGCCGCTCTTCGTGAGCCCTTGGCTCTCGGAGCCGCTGACTGCCTGGTTTGCATCCTGTGGCTCCTGGAACATATCCGGGCTACTCTCTTGCTTTTTGGACTGGAATTGGCAAGCGCTCTCTGCTAGGTACAGGTAGTCCTCACTTCACCATGTGTTTAGCGACCGTTCAAAGTTACAACGGTGCTGAACGAAGGGACTTACAACTGGTCCTCGCGCTTACATCCGTCCCAGCACCCCCATGGTCACATGATTGCGATCTAGGTGCTTGGCAACCAGCTCACACTTATGATGGTTGCAGTGTCCTGGGGGTCACGCGATTGCCATTTGTGACCTTCCCAGCCAGCTTCCAGCAAGCAAAATCAATGGGGAACCGTGTGATTCGCTTAACGACTGTGTGACTTGCTTAATGACTGCTGCAAAAAAAGGTCATAAAATCGGGTGTGACTGGCTTAACCGCCCCACTTAGCAACAAATTTTCCAGTCCCTATTGTCATTAAGCGAGGATTACCTGTATTTGAATTACGATCTTGTCTGCTGTTATCTGCATAAACTCTAGTAAATACCGCAACTCCTTAGTAACTCTGTCTGCGTGTGCGTGCCTGCAACCTTGCAAGAGAGCAAAAGGGGATTAAGCCTGAGCAAAAGGAGTGGTGCCATTATGGACAAGGGCAGCTCTCTTATTACGTTTAGTTGTGGGTTGATTTCTTTCCTAAAGGTAAGAGGATCTGTTTACACGTGTTGGGTTGTGGATAACTGAACCCAGGCATGACTAAATTAACCCAGTTCTGCACTCATGCAACATCGTAAGCAATGACACAGTCAATCCTGGCTAGATTTGCATAAAACACTGAGCCATCGGTTGCCAAGTGAATTTTAGTTGAGTGATGGATAAGCATGATAAATTGAACATGGTGTTGAGGCATGGAAAGATGAACTGCCCTGCAAAGAGGAAAAATGTATGGGTGACTGTCAAGATCAGTGTTTTTTCTCTGTTGTGGTCTGTGGGTCAGGTGTACAGCTTGGCTGCATAGACAGTTGCAGAGAAAGGGGGGAGGGAATTTAAACTCCTTGAATCACTTATGAAAGGGCACATAGGTTTGAAAAGAAAAAAAAAATAAAAGAAGCCAGAGCAGATAGATAGGAGGAAGGAGGGGGGTCTTCTAAGTTTGGCTGGAGATGCTGCTGGAGTGAGCAGTATTGGACGTGGAGCAGAGGAGAGAGCAGCTTGGGGAGCAAGGAGCCGGACTCCATAGCCAGGGAGAACTGGGAAGAAGTCCGAAGGAATCTGCAAAAAGAGCCAGCGGAAAGGAGAACACGGCCCCGAACAGTAGATGGTGAAGAAGTGGTTTATGTGCTGGTTAACTGGGCAAGAGTGGGTTAAGGAGAGAAGTGGTTAGCAGTCCTAAGTCTGTGCTGAAGATAAGCAAGTGTGGGAAGAGGCAGAAACTAGCCGCAAAGCATTTGTATTATAAAGCAGGATTCCTCAACCTTGGCAACTTTAAGACGGGTGGACTTCAACTCCCAGAATTCCCCAGCCAGCAAGGTTGAAGTTGAGTTGAAGTCCACCTGTCTTAAAGTTGCCAAGGTTGAGGAACCCTGCTGTAAAGTAAAGATCTAGAAATTGAAGTGATTTAGTTAAGTTTTGTTAGCATAAGTTAAATGTATTAGTGGCTTGGTTACTATCGATAGATATACATAAACACTTATTCACTAAAGGTTTTGTAAATGCACTTTGCACTAAGTTTGTACAGGTCGTCCTTGTTTAGTGACCACAATTGGGACTGGCAACTTGTTAAGCGAAGTAGTCGCTATGTGAAACCGCGACTTATGATCTTACTTCAGCTTTCCTTTGCTTTACAGACCTGTGAAGGTTGTAAATGCAAGGATTGGTCGCAAAGTTACTTTTTCATCATTGTCATAACTGCAAACGGTTGCTAAACAAGGCAGTTGCTAAACAAGGACTACTTATATAGCAATAAAGAGCACTGCATATACTTGTTAACCGTGTGTGTGTGTTTGGCTTGGTTCTGATCCATTCCCACCCTATGACATGTTGCCCTTAAAAATTACACCATGGCTCAACTACTAGATTACTGGAACATGCTGTACATGGGGTTATATACTAATCTAAGCAGCGCCCTGCAAGATCGGACCCCTGGCCCATCTAGTCCAGCAGTCTGTTCTCCCAGTGGCCCACCAACCGCACCAGGAAGCCCACTGGTCTCCCAGCTGATGGCCTTCAGAGGCAGACACACTTCCATCAAGGCTAACAGCCATGATCTTTTCTAATTTTAATTTAATTTCTGAACCAATTTACAAAAATAAATATGGATTGCACAGAATTAGAAGCACAGGTATCAGATGACATCTAGAAAAAGGCCAGTGTTCTGCATCTGAAATTATGACAGCGAAGTCCTGAAGTCCATATTACACACGTAATAACAAATGAGGCAACTGAATTATTTTCAATTAAAGGTTCCTGCTTTACAAAGGAATCATTCCCTATCCAATTCCCCAGCTGTACTGAGATTACATCTGCCTGAATTCCTAGTGGACTTTGATGATCCTAGCTAGGAATTTGAGGAAATGCAGCCCCAACCCCCTTGGAACTAGTGGAAGAAGGCAATCATAATTAAAAGGGGATTAAATTATGATCAAAATGCTTTCCACACTCCAGTGGTTTCTCCATAATAGTTATCGGATGAGAAATGAGATTTATTTTGCCTGTCCGTGTTTGAGATCCAAAGCAAAGGAACAGTAAGAACAAAAGGGATGTGGATCATAGCTGAGTTTCAGGAACCTTGTACAGTATATTACAATCTAGCTCCAAAACTTTAGGGTAAAAACAAGAGAAGTAATTTTAAAAACAAAGCAAGAAGACTTCTTCTAAATCTAACCCAAATCCGGAAGGCATGCGCACGGCCTCCAGAGGAGCTAGAATGATTTCCCTCTGAGGAAAAGTTACAGCGTTGGGAACTCTTTTTAGCTTAGACAAAAAAAAAGGCATACATGATATGGATAAAGTAGAGTCATCTAACCAAGTCAGATGCTCGAAAATCTGGGTAAGAAAAATGAAGCACTTCTTCACCCAGGGTGAAGTCATCTGTGAAATTCACTACCCATATACAATGGTGGCCACCAAACTGGACATGTTCAAAAGGTAAAAGACAAGTCCATGGAGGCTAAGACTATCATGGCCAGAATACATGATTAATTGTGAAAACACAGACATGGGAGGAACTTGGGAGATGTGCAAGGAAGCGTCTGTAGGAACCATTGCATTGTATATGGACTGAAGATGTGAGTTTGGCATCTAGTTGGCCACTCTGAGTTCACAATATAGGAACTAATTATTCTTTTTATGCACTCCTCTGGTTTCTCAGAAGGTGCCAGTTTGGGAAGAATTTCTTCTTTTTTCAAAGCACTCTCCACATTTCTGATACTCCCAGGCAAAAGTTCTTTGGACATACCAGGAAGTCGTTTTGATTTTTTTCCATGTGCCATGTATTTATATAGTTTCCTCCCAAAGAATTTTTTGCAGATGTATAAAATAAATGAACTCAGGGAGGCAGTGAAGGACAGGAAGGCCTGGCGCAATATGGTTCATGGGGTCACGAAGAGTCGGACACGACTTAACGACTGAACAACAAAAATAAATGAATAATCAGATTGAAAATTTTCCACACTCCAAATATTTATACAGCAGTTTCATTATGGTTTTTCCGATGTTGAGTAAGATTTGTTTTCTGAGTGAAGTTCTTCCCACATTCCAAACACTTATATGGTTTCTCCCCTGTGTGAATTCTTTCATGAGAATTGAGGGTTGATTTTTGACGGAAGCTCTTTCCACACTCGGTGCACTGATAGGGTTTCTCCCCCGTGTGAATTCTCTGGTGGGAAATAAGATGCATCTTTTGACTGAAGTTCTTTCCACATTCAAAACATGTATATGGTTTCTCCCCTGTGTGAATTCTTTGATGTTGAGTGAAATGCATCTCATGACTGAAGCTTTTTCCACATTCTGAACATTTATATGGTTTATTCCCTGAGTGGACTATTCGGTGATATCCAAGGGCTGTATTCCGACTGAAGCTCTTCCCACACTCCAAGCATTGATAAGGTTTATCCCCTGTGTGGATTCTTTGATGGTACCGGAGAACTGTACTCCAACTGAAACTCTTTCCACATTCGAAGCATTTATATGGTCTCTCCCCTGTGTGAATCCTTTGATGAGATTTGAGATTTCCTTTCTGGCTGAAGCTCTTCCCACATACCAAACATTTGTATGGTTTCTGCCCTGTGTGAATTCTCTGATGATTAGTGAGTTCTATTATTTGTTTGAAGCTCCTTTCACACTCCAGACATGTATATGGTTTCTCCCCAGTGTGAATTCTTTGATGAGAACTGAGAGCTGATTTCTGACGGAACATCTTCCCACAATCCAAGCATTTGTATGGTTTCTCTCCTGTGTGAATTCTCTGATGAGAAGTGAGATGCATCTTCTGACTGAAGTTCTTTCCACACTCTAAACATGTATATGGTTTCTCCCCAGTGTGAATTCTTTGATGGCGAGTGAAACGTTTCTTCTGACTAAAGCTCCTTCCGCATTCCAAGCAATTATATGTTTTCTCCCCCATGTGACTTCCTTGATGATAAGGTAGATGTTTCTTCTGATGGAAAGCCCTTTCCGTTTCCCTGCATTTATATGTCCCCCCTCCCTGGATTTTGCAATGAGTTTTAAAGTTTGAGATAGGATAGAAAAATTCTGTGGACGTGTCACAGACGTCATTCATGCTTCTTTTATGTGGTTTGTCCTGGTTTGGGCTATAGAAGTTGCTATCTTGAGGAACAGAGGATGCATGATTCTCTTGATTGGTTTCATTTATCTGTTTCTGCAGTTCGGTTCTATTAGAATTGTCTCCTTTCATTGACCTTTTCCATGATTCTCTCTTATTTTCTATTTTGCATCTGTTGTTTTCTGGAATTGACAAGAATTGAAGGTATGAATTATTAAAGTAGCCTGAAATTAATAATCAACCTCAGCAACCTCTTGGCTGATATGGGGAAGAGACTGTTTCTCGCCTATTAATGACCAAATTAGACAGTTGCCACAGAAACAACCATGACAGCTGTTCTTCTTTTATTGTTATATTGTGTTTTTAACTTTTCCTGTACATTGTCTTGAGTCGTTTAATGATTAGGTGGCCTTATAAATCATCATCATCACCTCTGAATTCCTTGTGGAACAACTTCCCTGGGCATTAGCTAATTGCTTCAGTGGAGGTCTTCCTCACTGTACCAGATTGCACCAAATTATCATTGGGTAGATACAGAGAAATAAGTCATGCCCAGTGTTTGTGAGGCTTTCCTCTATTCAGGAGAGGCCAACAGTTGGGTCTTGTAGGTATCCCTTAAAAACTAATTTCTTCACTTAGTTTTTATCTGAGTGTTGATTATGTCTACACTTGTTTTATTCTGGGAAAGGGGAAATTAGTTAAGGGCTTAAATGTTTTATGCATTTACTGTGAATTATTTGATTTATACCCTACCTATTATTCAAGAGCCCAAAGTGGCAGACATACTGCCTCCTATTTTCCCCAAAAGGAAAACAAAGGCTGGGGCCGAGAGAGAGAAAGCGGGCCAAAGTCACAAAGGGAGTTCCTGTGATTGAGGAGAATCTTCAGCCTAGATATCCCTGTTCCTAGACTGGTATATTCACCACTACATGATACTGGTTCCTGCGATATGATAAAGGGATTAGCCCCAAGTCTCTTAGGGAGCTTCCATGGCTGGGGGGGACGGGCTAGAACCTGCATCTCCCTGCTCCTAGCCCAGGACCCTCACCACTACCCCGCTCTTGGGTTGAGAGAGAGGTCTTGGTCCAGAGTACCTCAGGGAGCTTATGTGGCTGGGTGGGTGGGGGACTAGAATCTGGGTCTCCCCACTCCTAGTCCAGCACCTTCACCATCACCGCGCACTGGTTCTCACAGAATGCAGAGGAAAAGAGAGATGCACTGGGTGAAGGATCAGATACTATTCTCCTCATTCCTAGTCAGGCACCTTCACCACTAGACCACACTTGTTCTGGGGCTGAGGGGTGGGGGGCACTGATCCAAAGTCTCCCACGGGGCTTCCGTGGCTAAGCAAGAACTTGAATTTGGGTCTTTCTATTCCTAGTCCAGCACCTTCACCACTACCCCATCCTGGCTCTTGGGCTAAGGGGGAGGGACTGGCCTAAAGTCCCCAGGGAGTTTCCATGGCTGAGGAGGGACTAGAACATGGACCTCCCTGCTCCTAGTCCAACGCCTTATCCGCTACATTACACTGGCTGTATTTATTTACTTGTTTATATTTATGTGTTTATAGTTTTAATTCTTTACTCTTTTAAAATTCCAGAACACCTGTGGTATTGAAGCTGCAATATGCTGGAGGTACTCCCAGATCCACTAGGAGTGGACACTAGGGGCTTAGGTTGTTTTGGGTTTATTAATTTGCCAGATATAGCCCTATCTGGACCAGAACAGCTTGGCCACATTCACTGATGGCTCACATAAATTACTGCAGTGAGTTCTACTTGAGACTGGCTGTGAAGATAATTCAGAGTCTCCACCTCATTCGGAATGCCACCGGTCAGTCACCGAGCAATGTGCAAGATTATAATCGCATGCCTTTGTCTTGTTATTGGAACCGGCGGTTTGTTTTCAAGGGTTCTTTGAGATACAGTTGACTCATAGAATACAGTACTAAATAGCTTGTGGATTAAATCTCTGGTAGAATGTCTCTATTAGGTGTGGCAGTCTAGTCTCTGAGATCTTTGGAACAGATCCTGCTTCTGGTCCCAGCTATTCAAACAAGAGTCACCTTGATTGTAATAACTTTTCTTGGAATTTGTCTAAGTCAGGAGCTGCATCAGGCCACAATGAGCTCAGATGTGGAGCAAAGTCACTTGATCAGTGGTGGATCTAAAGTCATGCCTGTTTTTCATACATGCACCCTGGAGTATCAGCAAGTTCCAATTTTTAGTGACAAAGGCAGAACGCTTACCCTCAAGAAAAAATGTATTATAGAGTTGATGGCATAGACTAATAGCTCCTTTTTATTCTACAAACCTGTACATTTGAATTAGGGACCTCACTCATATCTGGGTATTCTCTTTGCAGGTCATGAAAGGAAGAGGTGCCCTTCTTTCTTCACAAAAGGTTTGTGAAGTCCATTCAGAACGGAGCTGGACAGTTTCTTTTCCCAATCCCAAGAAAGGATGGGAGGCTAATCTTAAACTTCAACCTTAGAAGCATCAATGCATCCCTGAGAACTTTACTTCTGTAGTTCTGGTGATACTTGCTATAGGCATTATCTTTGTTTTCATCTCAATCATAACTCACAGTGTTTCCTTCTGGCCTTGCAACCGAATATAAGGAATTGACCAAGCGCATGGCTGTAATTTCAGTTCTTGACAGCTCCTTCTGGGACTATTTTGCACATCAGACTACTGAATCCAATTACTTTGGGCAACACTGGAACAGTCTACTAGAGAAATAACCTAGAGTTCACATCGTTTATAGACTATAGTCCCTGACATCTTGGGACTCACACATTCCTTCTGGGTTCTACAGATGATATGACACCGTAGCACACATTCTTAGCAGAGCCAAGCCAGGGTCCAAGAATGGCTCTTGATCAGAAGATCAGCTCTGATAATTACTTCTGAGCAGTACAGAAGCATCAGCACCTTTACTACTCTGTTTTGGATCGCCTTTTCCTAGTCATGGTTTTGCCTAATTGCTGTCTGAAAAAGCAGTATTGTGATTTCATCATTTCAGTGAACAGTGCTCGCATGTATTGTCTGGTGCATTCTGGGCAGAAAATCCAATTATTAGTGCTTTTATTGTATATATAAAGATGCATTACCAACAACAGAAGAAAATGGAAGTTGTTATGCCCCTTTTATTTCTCTGTTAAATTTGTTACTCTTATGCTACTGTAGCTGTAAGAAGAAAAGTCTCTTTTAATTTCCCTTGTTTTACTAATGGGCATCTTGGGTTTTAGAAAAGGACAAGTCTATCTCTGTATTTTCCTCCTACCTGTCCTTCTACTCTTGAATTTCCCTCCTGCTTTTCCATTGCTATTCCAATGTATCCTCAGCGTTATTGGATATTTCTCAATCATGGGAAAAATTGAAGAGATTAAGTGTCTCAGATGAAGCTCAACTGAGATTGACCTTTCTCTGACCACAAGCATTCATTGTCTGAAAGTCTTCCTGTTTACACTCTTCAAGAGTTTTTGTTAAGGGCATATATCTCAATAAGTACTTGGAAGGATAGTATGTAGCACTCCTTTTAATCCCCTGACCACCAAAGCTAATCAGGATGTTCTCTCTATTATTGGTTCTTCAATTTCTCTCCTTTGTATTTGTCCCTGTTGACTTTAAGTCTTACCCAGGTAAAATAAATGCATAAAAACCTGTGCCAAAATGCTATAAGGAGGAGGGTATAAAAAGAAAGAAGCTTGTGCTAGGCTAACTCTTCTCCCAAATCTGGGGTTTCAAATAATTTTTTTATTTTTAACATCCTTTTATCCTCTGTTCTATTTTGATTTTTTATATTTTTAATGTATTTCCTGACTGTTTCTAGCTTTGCTGTACGCTGCCCAGAGTCGTCTGTGGTGAGATGGGCAGAGAAAGAAAGAAAGAAAGAAAGAAAGAAAGAAAGAAAGAAAGAAAGAAAGAAAGAAAGAAAGAAAGAAAGAAAGAAAGAAAGAAAGAAAGAAAGAAAGAAAGAAAGAAAG